TTCCCTCAACCATACACCCAGGGTGCCCCTTTGAATAGTCCCTGGGTGGTCTGCCAGGTTTAAGGGTTCCAAATCAGTTGTCCCAGTCAGCACCAGTTTCAGGTGGAAGAGTTCAAATGTCTCCGGAAGCTGGATAAGAGGAGTCTGCTCACTGCTCAGATATAACTTGCTCCAGTGCTCCATGAAGGCAAAGGGACCCACCCAGCAAATGGGTTAGTCTGGGAAGTTTAATACCTCTTCCCCACCTTGCACCCAGTCACTCGTAATCCCCCAGGTGTGTGAACCTATTCACTCCAGTAGGCAACTGCTCCCGGGGTTTATAACTGGCAAAATCAGCCAGAAATCTGAGTTCGGCAGGGGGGGCCTTGTTTGAATTAGGCTTCTGTCTGGCTAGATTCCACTGCAAGTTGGAGGCTGCATTCATCTCTGGGCAGCAGACAAATAGCAGTTTACACTCAGGTGTCAATTCCAGCCTCTGCCCGCCCACTGCCTTTATCTCAGCTATATTCCCCTGAGGCCTGGTGCTAATTGTCTCTTTACTTACAAAAGTTACCAAGTCTGTTCTGCCTGTGGCTGCTGTCTGGAACCTCTGGTTGCCCAGAGAGACGGGGCTTGCCTATCTGGAATGGCGTCAGTTTGCAGCTCAGGATGCCACTGTTCCTTGTATGGCTTCCTCCCAGCCAACTTTCTTCTTCTCACTCCTGTGCCACAGTCAGCACAGAGCAGCACCAGCCCTTTACCCCTCCACTTCTCTCAAGGAGATGCCCAAGAATCTGGACTCCGTAGGTAACAAACCCCCAGACCTCGGAGTGTGTGGGTGGGTGGAGACTCCTCAGAGTTCAGTGTTGCAGGTGGAGAATATATACAGTTTTATACAGTTTTACAGTTTTATGCCTAGCAGGAGGGTGCTGTGGCATGCCAGCAGGGGTAGGAGGTCCAGTTTTTAGGGGGGTCTCTCCCATGGGATAGAGTGGGAGGAAGTTTGAACTCTGCTCACTTGTTTGCATGGAGTAAACTGCAAGCCCTTATTGTGGAGGAGGAGACTCCCATCCACTTTGTTGTGGATTTTGTACCTTTTGGTTGTGTTTTTGGGGTCATAGCTCATTTCAGGAAGGTTGAAGTGCACTCTTCAATCTTCTCTCTCGGCTCCACTCCAAACCATCAGCTCCCTTGCTAAACTTCTGTCCTTTAAGCCTCCTTCTGGATAGGAGCTTCTGTAAAAAGTTGGCTGCAGTTTGCCATCTTGGGTCCACCCCAAGAAAACTCTTTTCATGGGGAACATGGTTTTGCTTAGAGCATTAATTCAAATACCTGCTTCTCTGTTGTACCTGTCTGTGAGGCATTAATTTCAGAGCACAGAGAGGTATATACATGTTTTACCCTGTATTCCTGGGTCAGACTCATTTTCTTTAGGATGCATGTAGTGCTGTGCAGAAGTGGAGGGAGAGGCCTAAGTAGTTTGAACCTCTGTGCCTTTCTGGCATCTGAAAATCTCAGTAAGAAAGAATTTAAAGGCAGAAACAACCAGAATTCCAAAAACAGTGGAATGAGGTGAAGCATTTAGAGCAGGAAGAATCATTATGAGAGGCATTGTATTTACACTGGGATCTCATTGTGTGACCCTCTCAATTTCATTGTCTTTTGCAGGTTTACTTTTATATCTCATTATGGAAATTATTCAAACTTTTTTAAGGCCATTCATAACCCTCACCTGAAACATCTGAACCTGTATGGCACCAGCCTCTCCCTTACTGATGTGCAGCACCTGTGTGAGATGCTGAAGGACCCAGCCTGCAGTGTGGAGGAGCTCATGTGAGTCTCTGAGTTGTCATTGAACAATGACATGGTTGGGGTACCAACCCCTTCTTCAATGTAGCAGTGAATCCACATATGACCTTTGGCTTCCTAAAAACTGTCATTAATACTAATGGCCTATTGTTGATACTAATAGCCTTCCCAAAACATGAGCAACATTTTAACACGTATTTTGTATGCTGTATGCATTATACACTATATTCTTGCAATAAAGTAAGCTAGATAAGGGCCAGGCACAGTGGGTCATATCTGTAATCCCACACTTTGGGAGGCTGAGGCAGGAGGATCTCTTAAGCCCAGGAGTTTAAGGTTGCTATGAGCTATGATACCACAGCACTCTACCCAGGGTAAGAGAGTGGGACTCTGTCTCAAAAAAAAAAAAAAATAAGCTAGATAAAAGAAGATATTATTAGGAAAATTCTAAGGAAGAGAGAATATATTATTCATTAAGTAGATCATCATAAGTCTTCACTTGCATCATCTTCACACTGAGTAGGCTGAGGAGGAAGAAGAGGAGTTGGAATTGCTCTCTCCAGGGTGGCAAAAGTGGAAGTAAATCCATGCATAAGTCGACCCATGTGGTTCAAACCCTTGTTCAAAGGTCAATCATATTAGGACATTGTGTGACACTGATTTGAAGAAATTGGCAGGGGACCACTGACCTGCCAATTTTAAACTGCATGGAAACTCAGCAGGATTTAACAGTCTTGGTCCTGGTGACACTGTGATTTAGAATGTCACACACACACACACGCACATATATATCTACACACACACACACACACATATATAGGTCTTCATTCCTGGTTCCTGCCACAGAGCTCCTAGTCCCTCAGAATTTCTTGAGTGATAGGAACATCTTTTATTCTTGTGAGGAGACTCTTCTATGGGGGCTGCTAGATGGGGGCTGGTCACTAGAAATGGACTTAATAATCAATGATGCCTCTGTGAGGAAACCCCCATAAATATCCTAAAAGTGGGGATTTCAGAGAGCTTCCAATTTTGCAAACATATCCACAGAGCACAGCTCAAGTCCATGGGGATAGAAGCTTCTGCCCCAGGGCCCTTCCAGACCTTCTCCTATATGTCTGGATGCTCACATGTATCCTTTATAACATCCTTTATTAAATGTAATTGTTTTTCTGGGGTCTGTGACCCATTCTAGCAAATTAGTCAAATGCTAGAAGGCAGTTGTGGGAACTTCCAGCTATGGTCGGACGGTCAGTTGGTCACAGACAGAACAGCTCAGGGCTTGAGGCTAGTGTCTTCAGGGAAGGGTGGTCTTGGGGACTGAGAACCCACCTTGTGGATCTGACTCTAAATTCATGTAGACAGAGTCAGGATTGAGTGACATTTTAGAACACCCACTTGGTGTCTACTAAAGAAGTGCTTATTGTAGCAGTGGGGATGAGGGACCTCCCCTGGTCACAGATGTGTGTGATACCAAGTGTGTGGAGGCAGAAAAAGCAGTGTGGCTCTTGTCTCTTACAGCACTATTGACAAAGAATGAGGTAATCAGATTTATTGAGTTCCAGATAAGCAACCCTTTGTCATGTGAGTCTGTCCTATGCATGGAAGGATCCCTTGCATCCTCCATTGTGACAACCAGCAATGTCAATCCCAGAACGCAAAATCATTCTCACTTGAGAACTTCCATTTACATTTATTTTTGAGTTTTAGATTTGTCCCTAATTTCAGTGCAAAGCCATAAGAGATTAACAAGTACAGTTAATCTCTCAAGGACAGTAAATATAGTTATATCTGTGCTTTCAAAAGGCCATGGATGTGGACAGTGGGTTGGCAAGTGAAAGATCAGAACCAGAGGTACTAATTGGCTGATGACTAATCTTGCACAAGCCATTGAAAGCTTTTGGCCACATCTCATGATGTGTGTGTCCTTTGTAGAATAGGGAAGTGTGACATCCAAAGTAAAGCTTGTGAAGATATTGCCTGCGTCCTCACCTGCAACAACAAGCTGAAACGTCTCTCCTTGGTAGAAAACCCCGTGAAGGATGAAGGAGTGAGGGAGCTGAGTCATGCCCTAATGAACCCAAACTGCGTCCTGGAGGGGCTGATGTAAGTTGATCCTGGGTCAGGTATATGGTTGGAGAATATTTTCTCCCATTATGTAGGTTTTCTGTTTACTCTGTTGATTATTTCCTCTGGTGTACAGAAACTTTTTATTTTATTTTAATTAAGCCCAGTTATTTATTTTTGCTGTTGCTATATTTGCTTTGAGGTTTTATTCATAATTCTTTTCCTAAGCCAATGTTCTTTTCTTTTCTTTCTTTTTTTTGAGACAGTCTCACTCTGTGCCCTTGGTAGAGTGTCATGGCATCCTAGCTCACAGCAACCTCAAACCCCTGGATTCAAACAATTCTCCTGCCTCAGCCTCCCATGTAGCTGGGACTATAGCACCTGCCACAACACCTGGCTAGTTTTTAGAGACAGGATCCCACTCTTGCTCAGTCTGGTCTTGAACTCCCGAGCTTAAGAAAACCACCCCCTTAGCCTCCCTGCATGGTAGGATTATAGGCTTGAGCCACTGTGCCTAGCTGAGGTTGTGTGTTTCTTTGTAGGTTAATGAGCTGTGGTCTCACCTGTGCCTCCTGTGAATACCTTTCCAAAGCCCTTTCATGGAATAAATCTCTGTCCCTCCTTGATCTGGGGTCCAACCTTCTGAAAGATGATGGAGTGGCATCTCTGTGTAAGGTGCTGAAGCACTTACGCTGTGGCCTGCAGGAGCTGTGGTAATACTGGCTGTGATGGCTTCAGTGAAGGGCTTCTCTCTTGGATGTCAGCATCCTGGGAAGGAGGATGCACGTGCCATGGTCTGAATGTCTGTGTCTACCCAGAATCTATGTATGGAGTCTGAGGTGGTGGTATTAGGAGGCAGGGGACTTTAGAAAGGGGAGTAGGTCATGCGGTACAGTCTCCCACCCTAATAAAAGAAGCCCCAGGAACTCCCTCGGCCCAACCACCCATGGACACCATAAACTGTTGTGTCTGTGAGCCAGGACACGGCCCTCACCAGACACTGAATCTGTCAACACCTTGGTCTTGGATGTCCAGCCCCCGGAGTGATAAGGCATTCGTTTCTGTTGTGCGTGAGCTACCTGTTTCAGTAGAGGGTGTTTTGTTATGGCAGCTGAAAAGGACAAAGACAGGAAGATAATGGGGTCTGCCAAGCAAATGAAGCGAAATGTGTGTCTGTGTGAGGTGTCAGGTGTGATGCTCCCAGAACATGTGATGAGGGCAGTGTGTGTGACCAGGTTCCTGCCCAAGGGACCCATGAAGACATAGGAAATAAAGCAGGCTTCCTGCAGTGGCATCCAAAGTACCCCAGACTGAACGTGTGAACTTGTGTGGGTAACACATCCCTCCCCTGGTATAATGAGAGGATAACTGGGGTCCCCACCCCCATGAAGCAATGAGATGGCCAGTTGGAATCATACACATAGAAACACTTTTTTCCTTTTCATTTGAGACAGTCTGCCACCCAGGATAGAGTGCCATGGCATTTCCATAACTCACAGCAACCTCAAACTCTTAGGTTCAAGTGATCTTTCTCCCTCAGCCTCCCAAGTAGCTGAGACTATAGGCACCTTCCACCACACCCAGCAAATTTTTCTATTTTTAGTAGAGACAGGGGCTTTCTCAGGGTGGTCTTGAACTCCTGAGCTCAAGGGATCCACCCTCCTCAGCCACTCAGAGTGCTAGGATTATAGGTGTGAGCCACTGGTCAGACCCTGAAAGGACTCTAACATGCCCTCAATAAGTGATAGCAGGAGACAGCCTGAAAATCACTCTTTCCTTCTGGTGGAAGATTTAGATTGGTGAATGAAACATTCCATAATCCGTGTTGCCACAGACTTCTGGCATGTCATCTACACTAGTGCTTGTGAGGTTGCATATACACCTGCCTATGTGTTTGTATTGGGCTTTCTCAGTCTTGGCCTTTTGGCACAGATCATTCTCAGTTGTGGGGAGCTGTCCTATGCTTACCAGGGTGTTTATAGCCTCCCTCTTTTCTATCTACTAGAGGCCAGTAGCACCTCTTGCCCAAAGTGGCAAATGGAAAACATCTTCAGATACTACCAAATGTCTCCTGGAGGACAAAAGTCATACCTGTCTGAGAGCCATAGACAAACACATACAAATACATGAGACACATGCGTGTGTGTACATGTTTATCACCTAGGGTTTGTTACTCACTTACTATCTGTCGTTCCACCCTCCACCTGTTCCCTGTCCCCCTCCTGCCACATTTCTGTCACCTGTATGCTGGCAGGGGACAGTATGATGGACAATCAAGACCTTGGGAGTGGTTCAGAGGGACTGGGGACATGATGTCATGTAAATGATCAGGGGAGGCCTCACCCCAAGGTGACATTTGAACCTAGCTTTGACAGCAGTGAGGAGGGAGCTCTGCTGATAGCTGGTGCAGTAGCACCTCCTCTGGGGAGGACAACAGAGTGAGGCCTAGGGGTGGGGGAGCCAGGCAGTATAGGAGTCCAGAGGGTGGAGCAGGTGGGGAAGGCAGGAAAGCTGAGAAGTTGCTGCTGCTGCTTAATTGTCACCTCAGAAGCACTTGGACATTTCCTGCTTTGCATGAATGAATGAAAATAAGCAGTGTTTTAAGACTGGGTTTCCCGAGCATATACAGACACCAGCACATGTGTGTGTTTGCCCCCAGGTTGCCTGGTTGTTTCCTCACTTCTGCTTCCTGTGAGGACATCGCTGCTGTTCTTATGTCCAATGGAAAACTAAAGACCCTGAAGCTTGGCCACAATGGAATTGGAGATGATGGTGTCAAGCAGCTGTGTGATGCTTTGAAGCATCCTAACTGCAAACTGCAGTGTCTTGGGTGAGCATCCACCTATGTCCTTGTGGGAGGGGTTCCCTTCTTCCAGGGTATGAAAAGCCAAGGTTGAAGAGAATCAAAAGGAAGAGTGAGTCTGTGAAAATAAGTCCATCTGAGATGTTCTGATGAGTAAAATGATGTCCTGGGGTTTGTGTGGTCTTGGCATTATTTGCATCAGCAACTTATGGCTCTTGGCCATCCTTGGAGGCTATTCTGAGCCTTGTAGAATATTTGGCAGCATCTTGGCTGATGTCCACAAGCTCCTAAGTAGCATCCCTCAGTCGGGATCAATGTCACTCAACTTGGATGCCCATGTAGCAGGCACCCCACAGCCATCTCTGCTGTGCTCCCCATGCAGGCTGCAGATGTGCCAGCTCACAGGTGCCTGCTGTGAGGACCTCGCCTCAGCCCTGACCATTTGCAAGACGCTAAGGAGCCTAAATCTCGACTGGATCACACTGGACCACGATGGGGTAGTGGTGCTGTGTGAGTCCCTGAGCCACCAAGACTGCGCCTTGCAGATGCTTGGGTGAGTGACATGTTTCTCCAGGTGCTAGGAGCCTCTGGAGCGAGGCTAGTCCATTGTCAGCCTCTTCAGCAGGTAACTGAATTTTGTGGCAGGGGCCTGTCCTGGGCACTGCAGATGTCAAGCAACACCTTTGGCTTTGATCAATCTTCAGTTGCCAGCAAGCATCTCCCTCCAGTGTGACCAACAATCACAACACCTCATGACATTGCCAAACGCCCCCCAGGAGACACAGTTGCACCAACAGAACCAAAGCCCCACTGTAAACACTACAGTCGCCTTTGCTCTTTATTATATAAGAAGCAACACACCTGTGCCTAGGCACAGAAACAGCCAATGAATAGAAGTTGTCATTTTTTACCCAACTTCAAATTTCTTAGGCTTTTTGTTGGCTTTTTTTTTTTAGATTTACCAATTAAGAATTTATTTAAAAACATTGCATCTAAAATATAAACTCAATAAAAACAGAGGATTTTTTATATTTTGTGTGATGTAACTCACATGCTTAGAACCAGGCTCAGTGTAACAGATAATAAATATTTGTGTATATAAGAATGAATAATTTTTTTTAGTGTATAAAGAAAATACATTTTTATTTTATAGTTATGGATGCTAAGTCCAAGGTCAAGGGACCAAATCTGATGAGGGTCGTCTAGCTGGTGGGATCTGCACTATCCCAGCTGGTAAAGGGCATCACAAGGTGACGGGGCTGAGGGTGTGAACATGCTGCTTGGGGTTTTCATAATAACTTTATATGAGATTTGATCTAGATCCATTTCTCTTCCTTACTTTCGTAGGAAATCCCTTTTCTTTTATTTTAATTTCTCTGTACATATACATGTGTTTATTTGGTTTCCACTTTTTGCCTTCACAAAAGTAAAAAGGCTGAAAATTTAATAATGATAACAATGTTTAAGATAAGGACTAGAAACAAAAACCGCGTAAAGAATGAATGAAGATAAATACATTCAGAAAAGATATCACATGATTGTTGCAATGAAATATTGAGCAATAATAATAATAATGCAAAAAAGTAACATTCTCATTGTCAGATCAGAGTATGTCTATCATAGAATGCTTTGCTTTTTTTCTTTTTTTTTAATTTTTTTTTATTAAATCATACTATGCCACCATTATGAAAGATGGAGACTTTACCTCCTTCATGTTTACATGGATGGAACCGGAAAATATTCTTCTTAGCAAAGTATCCCAAGAATGGAAGAAAAAGTATCCAATGTACTCAACCCTACTATGAAACTAATTTATAGCTTTCATAGGAAATCTATAACCCAATTTTAGCCCAGGAATATGGGGAGAGTGGAGAGGGAGGGGAGAGGAAGGCGAAGGGTGGGTGGAGGGAGGGTGATTGGTGGGATCACGCCTATGGTTCATCCTATAAGAGTACATGAGAATCTCTCTAAATGTAAGATATAAATGTCTTAATACAATAACTAAGAAAAAGACATGAAGGCTATGTTAACCAGTTGGATGAAAACATTTCAAATTGAGTAATTGTTATGGTTCTTAAGTATGCTATGGTTTGTTTAATCAAATTTCTACTAAAAGACATTTAGATTGTTTTCATTTTTTCAAAGCATATATACTACAAATATATCTCCCTATATAAATCTTTGTACTTCATATTTTTTTATTTTCATTATAATAGATTACTGAGCATGAACTTGCTGAGTCAAAGGAATACATATTTAAAATGTTAAAATCTTTCTGGGGCAGTTTGGCACAGTGCATCAATGACACTACCTCTAATACCATGTAAAATGGTCTGTTTTCAAATTTCTTATTTTGATTTAACCTCTCGATACATGCCTTAGATGGACTGTCACTACCAATCAGGCTCCATAGGAAAGATCTGGGCTTTCTCCTTGAATTCCACACAATTTTCTTGGGCATTTCTAGAAGAGAACAGAAGTGGGCAGCAGGATGGAGAGAGGCAAGCCAACCACAGATAAAGAAAACCTTTACTTCTGTCTTCTTAGGCTGGAAAAATCAGCATTGGATGAGGAAACTCAGATGCTGCTGACTTCTATGCAAGAGAAGCTTCCCCACCTGCGCATTTCTCACCAGCCATGGGTCGACGAGGAATATAAGGCCAGGGGCATGATCCTCTGACAGGATACACTGAAGTAGTCTTCTCAGGAGGGCTTTTCCTGGGCCATCATGGGCATTTCTCCCCTAGGCACACCCTTTTCTGCTATTGGACAGTGGGGCTGTGACTTTGGGAGCTGTTCTGTGACCATTCTAGCAATGTGATTATGGAACGTGGTTCAGCACATGTCACATGTGGCTATTGGACTTTGTCTCAGTCCTACATGCCCTTATCTTTAGAATTTTCATCCTGTTTTGCAATATTTAGAAGAAGAACAAATATGTTAGAGGAAAGGGAAACACTCAGAAAAGCATGGCTTTATTTTCTTAATGGACGTCTGGGTGTGTAGGAGCTTGCGTTTGAAAGAATCACGATCCTCTGATGCTTCTAACTTGGAAATGATGCTAGCATGTGTCTAGGGATTGCATGGGTGTCATTGGAACCCAAACTCTCTAGTTTGTCCAGATTTATACTTTATCAGTTTCCTGGTATAATAAAATAAGCATTTCCAAATCTCTGCTTATCCTTTAGTATATGACACTCCAATAGAATCCTGAAAAAAATCAGTCTTTTTCAAATATAAACACTTCCCTGTCATAATTATACATTCCCTGGTTCTCCACTGTCTCTATGATACTTACTCATACCTTACTGGCCTAGGATAGAATTTTTTTATGTTGTTGCCACAAAATAGAAAAGTGACATCAAAACTGGATTATATAAAAGCAAATATGATTAGATGGGAATATAATTTCAAATTCCTCTGAAAACGGGGAAGTGTAGTGCCTAGATTCTTCAGATACTTGGGAGGCATTGGTTAACATTATAAGAATTTTAAGAA